GATAGATGATATATGAGATAGATAGATGATAGATAGATAGATGATATATGACAGCTAGATAGATGATAGATAGATAGATAGATGATATATGAGATAGATAGATGATAGATAGATAGATGATATATGATAGATAGATAGATAGATAGATAGATGATAGATAGATGATATATGACAGATAGATAGATAGATAGATAGATGATAGAGATAGATAGATGATAGATGGATAGATAGATGATAGATAGATGATAGATAGATAGATAGAGATAGATGATAGATAGATGATAGAGATAGATGATAGATAGATGATAAGATAGATAGATGATAGATAGATGAAAGACAGATAGAGATAGATGATAGATAGATGTAGATAGATAGATAGATAGATAGATAGATAGATAGATGGATAGATATAGATGATAGGTAGATTGAAATAGATAGATAATATAGATACATAGATGATAGATATAGATTAAATAAAAAATGGGACATACAAGCTAACAGCCTTGAGGCTTGACTTCTATTCTAGATGTACCTTTAAACTGCAGAGCAAAGGATGCCTTCTTTTCATATTTCATTCATTATTGTATCCATAAGTGTGTGATGTGTGCATGTGGGTACAGTGTGCCAAGACACACATGCGGAGGTCAAAGGACAACTTTGAGGAGTGGGTTCCTCCTTCTGCCATGGATTCCAGCAATCAAACTTAGGTTGTGAGGCTTGTACTGCAAGCGCTTTTACCCCTGAGCCATCTTGCTGGCCCTGGCTTTCTTTTTTAATGACATATACAAGAATGTTCACGATTTTTCAAAAGGTGCAGCCATGTTCCCCTCCAGCTTCTAAGACTTAGTTGTACCTCCACTCGAGGCTGACTACACGGGACTTTGATATCTTTCATGGATTTCTAGGCTCTCAAATACCTTTCCCTACAATGACAAATAGGTGATAGGCAATAAGCAGCTTCACACAAGGACCAAGGCTTTCTCTTCCTCTCCTTCCTCCTCCTCAAGGCAACTGCCAAGATTTACAGCTGGCCTGCCCTGTTTTCCTCTCAGACTTTGATAAAACTGTCCTCAAGCTTTAAAAAAAAAAAACAGAAAATAAAGAACTGTACTATCTATTTTTCAATCACAATCTGCATAAGAATATTTTTAGGAGGCTGAAGAGATGGCTCAGTGGTTAACAGCACTTCCTGGCCTTGAATAGGACCTGAGCTTGGTTCCCAGCACCCATACGGAGCAGCTCACAACTCCAGCTGTCCAGGGATCCAACAACCGTTTCTGACTTCGTGGGCACCTGCATTCATGTGCACATTCTCAAACACAGACAAACACACACACACATAATACACATAATTTAAGATAATTTGTCAAAATCTTTTTTGCTATTGTTGGGGTTTGGTTTTTGGTTTTTTCTTTGTTTGTTTGTTTTTTTTTGTTTTGTTTTGCCTTTTTTGAGACCCTGTAGCCCCAGCTGTCCTGGAACTCACTATATAGACCAGGCTGGCCTTGAACTCACAGAGATCCACCTGCCTCTGCCTCCCGAGTGCTGGGATTAAAGGCCTGCACCACCACGACTGGCTGTGTAAAAATCTTTTTAAAAAAAATAATATTTTTGTGAGGCATGATGGTATACTCCTTTAACCCCAGCACTCAAGAGGCAGAGGCAGGCAGATCTCTTTGAGACTGAGGCTAGCCAGTCCATACAGTGAGTTCCCAGTCAGCTAGGACTATATAGTGAGACAAACAAAAAAGGGCTGGAGAGATGGCTGTGTGGTTAAGAGCACTGGCTGCTCTTGCAGAGGACCCAGGTTCAATTCCCAGCACCCATATGGCGGCTAACAACTGTCTATAACTCCAGTTCCAGGAGATCCAACGCCCTCTTCTAGCCTCTGTGGGCACTGCATGACACGGGTGCACTTACACACATGCAGGCAATACACTCATACACATAAAATAAAAATAATAAATAAACTACAGATAAAAGAAAGAAAAGAGTATTTTTAATGAAGCTATGCTTGGCCTCATATCAAAGCTGAAGGTTCCCTTTGTCTTTTTCTCTAACGTTACTTTTCATCTACCTTATTCTCAGCATTTTATGTTTTATCTACTCAATAAACATTAACTGCAGTGGACCTGTGGCTCAGGAAGAGCACTGATCAAGCACAGAATGTACCAAGGCTGCCTCTGGCCCAGCCTGTGCTTCCTGGACAAGGTAACTGTCAACCACAAGGTTAGCACGCATTATGCATTCATTTCCACCTAATATTTTTTGGTTATTCTTTATCTGTACTGCTACAGGTCATAAGAAATGCCAGGCCCTTGTTCTACTATTGAGGGAAATAGAGAAATAACCAGAAAACTAAATGTCAAAAGATTCAAGCAGCTTAACGGGCCAGAGAAGGGAAGACTGGTCTCGGGTTTGTTAAGGGTTAGCGTTATCCTCCCCAGCTGTACCAGAGCAGTCTTCTGAACCAGCAAAGGCCATCAGGCAGGAGGAGGGAAACAGAAGAGGAGACGGGGGCACACAGGTCCTGGAGCTGTTGGAGATGGGACAGGCAGACAAGGGATGGGCCAAGCTACTTCCCACACTGAGCACATTCCAGTTCTCCAAGACCTCTGGCTCTCTTCAGCTGACACTGTACCCTCAACTCCTCTGGGAATGGAGTTTGCAATAAGCCAGGCAGGCACAGGAATACCAGTTCATCACTCTACTCCAGACCCATCCAAGGGACCATCAAAGACGTCTCCAGGGGCCAGACTGTCAAGGTCTATTTCCTGCTGGTTTAGCAATATGAATCCAAGGCTGAGTGCCACTAGGAGTGGTTGCCGCACCCAGGAATCTGAGCAACGAGGTGCCTTGTCCTGCTCTGCCAAGCTTGCCCTCCATCCCAGTGATTTTCCAGGCTCACGTCCTCAAGCCAATGAGATCTTCCTGCCCAGTTAAACTCACTTGTAAAACTTAAAAACAAAACATGTACCAGCCTCCACCCCTCCAAGGTTCTGGGTTAGTCTTGAAATATGTCTAGAGTATAAAACTTCCAACAGTTGAACCCAAGCCCAGACTAAGATAACCATAGTCTAGTATACATAATTATAGATTCTGAAACCTTTGCTTAGAATACTTCTAGAGCTGGGGTTGTAGCTCAGAGGTAGAGTGCTTGCCAGTATGCATAAGGCCCTGGGTTCGAACAGCCATCTAGAGTGCTAGACAGATCCACCCTTAGTAACCCACTAGACCAAAGCAATTGGGTTATTTAACAGCCACGCTGAATTATGGAGCAAGTTTATACTCACATTAGTGTCCCTCTAAGTCCAACTTCCTGATACTAGTTAAAATTCTAAACCCTGAGCCAGGCGTGGTGGCCCTCACCTTTAATCCCAGCACTGAGGAGGCAGAGACAAGAAGGAACTCTGTGAAGATGTGTGAAGCAGGGGAAAGTAGACGGCTCATCTTCAAAACAAAGAGGACTCTGGAGTCCAGGCAAGCGGCCCTAGGAGATGTAATCAACACAGCTCCTTAAAGGAATGAGAAAAGGCCTAGCCAGTAAACTGGGGCGTCTGCTGCACAAATTACTGACAGCCCAAGTTTGAACCTGGAACTCCCACGATACCAAGTTATCTTCTGACCTCCACAAGCACACCTAGACATAAGCACTCACACACACACCTCATACATATATCCAAGAATAAGCAAATAAAAGCATTGTGAAAAGAACGAGAGAGATGAACAAGATGACCACTTGCTGGGTCCCATTAGAAAATCATACCCTCATTTAAGCATGACCTCATCATCATGGGGGGGGGAGCTACCTGTGAGAGAGCAGAAAATATTATAAATGATAAATAAACAAAAAGACAGAAAGGAAACTGTCCAAAGCAAAGGTCCAGGCTAGGGGTGCAGCTCAGCCACAGATGCTTTTGGCTTGGCATGTGCAAGGACCTTGGGGTCAGTGGTCAGCACAAAAAAAAACAAGATGACTGTTTCATAAAACTCATCATTTTTACTCCCCACATTATCAATGTTGCCTCCGTACATGTTATACAGATGTGCAAGTGTTAACACATACCTAAACAGAGAATGTACAAATTTAAATTAACAAATACATAACTTACAATATGAACTCTATAACGAATCCTTTGTATAAATGCAGAAAGGCCTTTAAGGGGAAAAAAGGTATTTATCCTCCCCCGCCCCCCTTCCTTTGAGAAATTTGGTTTTTGTGGGGTTTTTTGAGACAGAGTCTCCCTGTAGCCCTGGCTGGTCTAGAATGGTCTATGTAGCCCAAGCTAGCCTCAGTCTCAGAGATTACCCTGTCTCTGCCTTCCCAGTGCTGGCACTAAAGGCATGCACCACCACACCCAGTCTTGAATCTTTATTTATTTATTTTTTTTTTTTTCTATGAGTTCAGGGCCAGCCTGGTCTACATAGTGAGTTCCAGGACAGGCCAGCGCTATAGGAAGACCTGTCTCAAAGAAACCAAAAATAAATAATTAAATAAATAGAATAAAATAATAAAGCTTAGAGATAGCCCAGGTGAATCTCAAACGGTATATTATAGCTGAGAATTGGCTTTGAGTTGGTGCGTTGATGCGGTGCTGGGGATAGAACCCAGGGCTTCATGAATGCTGGGCAAGCATTCAGAAACTGAGCTGTATCCTCTACTCCTATACCACCCCTCAGATCTCATTCTTTAAATATGCAGATCTTTAAAGGAGTCAGGCATAAACCACATGAATTAGCAGATAAGCTCTAGGGTTGGGGGCCAGTCTGAAGATGTTAATTACCTTTCCAGCTCCTGCAATCACAGACAAAACCTACAAGAGCTCACTTACGTATAAATACTGAAACAAATCTGTTGTAAGCAGAGAGCTTATCTTGAATTCACCTTCCCACTGGAGGTACTCAAGCACTGTCCCCAGTACAGGGAGCCTGGAGAGTGTGTGTGTGTGTGTGTGTGTGTGTAACTGATGAGTCAAGTTTGAGCCCCTCTCTGAATTCTGCCAAGATGTGAGGTCATAGGACACACTGTACCAAGGATCACAATTGACAGTTTGTGAAGGGGCAGAGCCAAGCAGCGTGCACATGCCTCAGGGTGGTGGTGGACTAGTAGATGAGGGTCCAGGATGGAAAATGAGTCCAGATTGGATTTGCAAGACTGGCCATCAAGTTCTCTGACCAGATTCTTATAGGGTTCTGCCCCCACTAGTCCCCTGGGAGGCATGAGATCATTTAATAGATAAAAACCAAGCAATTCAAATTCAAAAGAAATGCAATATTTAACTGCAAAATAGTCAATTTAAAGAGGAAAATCCCTTGTCTATTCTGGTAAGCCAGAGTGATGGGTTATTAAACTGACACAATCAGAAAAAAAATGTCCAGGCATCTACTCATAAATTGATTCTTTTCCAATAAAAACTTATGATTCATGAAGTAAAACAAGCAATTAACCACTAGGTAAATTTTTATATGCTGACGGCTAAAAAAAAAACAAAAACAAAAAACCTTGAATTGACTTTTTCCCTCCGACTGTAATTTAAAATACACGTCAAGTCTGTGGAAACCCACACAGTGAAAATTCTCCCCAACCCCCAATCTCAATCAGAAATGGATTTCCTCAATTCAGTACTTTTGACAACCTCCTTAAAGGGACTTACCTTAAAAGTCTCGGCCACCTCTTTCGGTCCCAAAGGGCATCCATTGCTACAGTCCTTAAAAAAAAAACAGAAAGAAATTTAAACCTCCACTAAGCAAAGCCATCGGGCCATCCCGGGACTTTGGGTCATCAACCCGGCTCACCAGGCTCACCATCGCAGACAGAGAGAGATACCCCGGCGCCCTACACCGGCCCCAACCAGAGACTGCCCTGCCTCCCCACCCAAGCCTGGTCTCTGCTAGCTCAGGGAGGGGCTCTTTAAATTCCAGGTCAGCCCAGGAGCCAAGGTGCAGCCGCAAAGAAACAAGAAGGCAATTGTCTCCCGAAAGTCCCCGAAAGTCCGAGTAAATGGTCTAGACCCAGGGTTTAAGCCATTTATAGAAAATCCCGCGGGCGCGCGCAGCCGCGTGGTCCTGTCAATCACGGACGCACAATGGGCAGGCGAGGCTGCGCGGGGGCCAGACCAGCTCCAACCATTTTCTCCACCCACAGGGTCCCCAGGCGGCCCCCAGCCTCCCTCTTCAGGACAGAGACCCTGAGGTACTGTAGCAGTTTAATAAGAGACGCTCTGGGGACGCGGAGTTGACTAGGGAAAGGCGCAGAGGTTTAGGGAGAGCTGGAGCGGTTTGCTGAGCAGCTGTGCGGGGAGGGGAGAGAGGCCACCAGGCCGCGCAGCCCTCGCCCACCTCCTCCTCCAAGCTCCCCGCGGCCGACGACCCCTGCGTGCCCAGCGGTGACCCCGGCATCCCCGGTGGCGACCCCAGCGATCCCCAAATCCCTGCCGGTCGTGACCCCCCGTCGCCGGTAATGGCCTCTGAACGCCCCCTTCCCCAAGTCCTCAGTGATGACCAGTCCCCAGTCCCCGACTGTGACCCCAGCATCCTCTATTGAGGTCCTGGTGACCACCCCTGGCGTCCCCAGTGGAGACCATCGCCAACGCGGTGACGACCCCTGAGTTTCCCCCACCCCCGAACCCCCGGTAGTGAACCCTGCAGTGACCCCCCTCCCCAGTCCCAGGAACGATCCCCAAGCTCCCTCCAACCAGCATCCCGGTGGTGCCCCCTGAGGTGACCCCCCCAACCCCGGGTGACGACCTCCAATCCTCAGTGTTGACTCCCCAATCCTAGGTGACAATCCTCCAATTCTCAGTGAAGACCCCCCCAATCCCGGATGGCAACTCCCCAGGCCTCAGTGTCGACCCCCCAATTTTAGTGGTGAGCCCCAATCCTGTTTGGTGACCCCCCAATCCCCGGTGGAGACCCCAATCCCGGTGGAGACCCCCAATCCCGGTGGCCCCTCGCAGCTCTCCGCAGAGGTGCCCCTACGGGATGCTGATGGGACCCGCGGGGACCGTGATCTGGGCGTGGGAAGCCGGGGACCCGGGTGCCCCGACCCGCGCTAACCCCGCTCAGTCAGCACGCGGCGTACCTGGCGGGCCCGGGCGGAGCTGGGCGCGCAGGCCATGGCAAGGCTGCGGGGAAGCAGGGCTGCGCGGTGCGGCGACAAGTAGCTGGCGGGGCGGGCGCCAGGAACCTGGGGCTGGAGCATTGGCGGGCGGGCTCGGGAGGCGGGGCGGGGGCCTGCAGCCGGCTCAGGGAGAGACGCAGCCTCTGCAGCATCCTCCGTACCCGAAGCCAGAGCGCGCAGTGGGCGGGCACCCAGGCAGCCTCAGACCTGGGGACTCAGCCGAGCTGCCCGGCAATGCCTGGGACCCCGCTGCGGCAGCACCCACAGCACAGCATCCACGGCACAGCATCCACAGCACAGCACCCACAGCACAGCACCCACAGCACAGAATCCACAGCACAGAATCCACAGCACAGCCGCACCAAAGGCAGGTCGTGCCCCGCAGGGCTGCAGCAGGGGTCTGGCTGTCACCGACCAGCAGCACAGTTGCAAACGTCAGGGGGTGAATCCGGTTTTTACTTGGCTGTGCGTCACCCCGCAGGCAGCCTGAGAAGGGCTGTGCTATTTCCACGCAAACGTCTTCCCGCAGCAAGGTGTAGAAGCCAAACAGAACGTCCCTGCCTGGTGTGCTGGCCTCACACCTGTAACCCGAGCCCTTGAGAGGCCGAGACAGGAGGATTGGAGGTCAGCCTAAACTAGTGAGACCCAGTCTCCAAAAAATAGAGTTCCCAGGTACTCATTCTATCACGATGGTTTTCTGAGGATGGGAAAGAGGCCTTGGACACACTACTCTGTTTAAGCCGGTACCAACGGCCTGAAGCATTTCTTTAAAAATTTATATTGAGATGTGCTTCTGCATCTTTACAGGGGTCCCTTACCGACCCCAGGGTTTCTTACTAAATGTCGGCCTGCAGTGAGGCTCCATCATTTAGTTAATAGCAAGTGGTGACTGGGCTGACTTGATCTTGAATGCTGAATGGCCCATCTGATTTCCAACGCTTGCTGTTCTTCCCCCCACATCAGCTTTGCACCCCTCCCACTGTTTCTATGGCAACACTGGAAAGGGAAGTATTACAATCATCCTTAAAAGTGTAAGAAGAGAGATACCCTGTTGTTGAGGGAAAGCTCTTCCTCCTGTTTGAAAAAAATGGGGTCTGTGCCAGGTGTAGTGGCACACCCTTTAATCCCAGGAGGCAGAGGCAGGCGGATCTCTGTGAGTTCAAGGCCAGCCTGGTCTACATAGTGAGTTCCAGGACAGCTGGGGCTGCAGGGAGACCCTGTCTCAAAAGGTGAAAAAAAAAGGGGGGGGGTCTGAGTTTTGCCTCTGGCACTCCAAAGATTAGAACAGTTCATACTTCCTTCTCCTCTCTTAAAAATTAATCCAGCTGGGCCTATCAATCACCTGGCCAGGAGACCAGGAGGAAGCAGAATGATCCTGTCCCCCTTAATGAGATAAAGCTACATCCCTCCCAGAAACAGCACCCTACGACTGCAGTTACAGGCTGCTAAGCTTGCTTGGTTTTTGAATTCTCAATCAAAAGGTGGAACTTTCCCTTTTTCTTTCTTTTTCCAGCCCCACCTCCACACCCAAACCAAGAGTATGGCTTTCTCTTTCCCTGTCTCCCTCCTCCCAGCACCTACTGGGATTTACAGCTTGCCTGCCCTGTTGTTTTTCTCTAAAACTAGTAAAATCGTACTCCAGGTTCCTTCTGAATCTATTTCTGTTTGTTTGGACCCGGGGAGGGAGTGCTGTTTGGATGGGATTTTTGTTTGTTTGTTCTGAGACAGGTTCTCATTATTGTAGTAGCCCCAGCAGGAAGGCCTGGAACTCCCTCTGTAGACCAGGTCTTGAACTCATAAAGCTCTGCCTGCCTCTGCCTCCTGAGTGCTGGGATTAAACGTTCAGGCCACCACACCAGGGCAGAGTCTATTTTTAAATTCTTTTATCAATGAGAGTAAGAACCGATCAAAGGGAGTCTCACTTTGCCCAGAACACTATAGGCAGAAGCACTCAAATTTTACCAGCTTAAGATGTTCCCTTCCTCCTCTCCTCCCTCCCCAACTTCTAGCCCTCCCCCTCTCCCTCCCTCCTTTTTCTTAGGAAAACACTGGGTGGGGTCCCAAGCTCCAAAAACATAGCAGTTCAGAAGGGTACAGTGGCTATACATGGTAATACTTCATGGACACCCTGAATCACAAAATAAATTAAGGGGTTTTTTTTTTGGTTTTTTTGAGACAGGGTCTCCCTGTAGCCCCAGCTGTCCTGGAACTCACTATGTAAACCAGGCTGGCCTTGAACTCACAGAAATAAGGTTTTTTATGCATGAAAAGTAAATCTTAGGTCATCCAACCAAGGCTTAAGAATAAGAATTCCTAAGGACCCCATAAAGATGCTCCAATACTGTGTCTCAATATAAAAAAGAAAACAAGGGGCAGGAGAGATGCTCAGTGGCTAAGAGCACTGGCTTCTCTTGCAGAGGATGGGTTCGGTTCCCAACACCACATGGCGGCTAACAACCTTCTGAAACTCCAGTTCCAGGGGATCTGGCACCTCTTCTGGCCTCTTCATGCATTGCACAACACAGGTCCACTTACATCCAGAAAAAAAAACACTCATACACATTAAACTTAAAAAATTTTAAAACCTCTTACGCCTTTAATCCCAGCACTTGGGAGGCAGAGGCAGGCAGATCTCCATGAGTTCAAGGCCAGCCTGGTCTAAATAGTGAGTTCCAGGTCAGCTGGGGCTACAGGGAGAAAGACAAAAAAAAAAAATTAAAGTCTCTCACATTTTGCTGGGCACGCCTTTAATCCCAGCACCTGAGAGGCAGAGGCAGGTGGATCTCTGTGAAACCAAGGCCAGCCTGGTCTACATAGGGAGTTCCAGGTGGGCTGGGACTGCAGGCTGCAAGGAGACCTTGTCTCAAAGGACCAAGAAGGAGAAGTGTCTGCATTGAAGGAGCAGCAGACTGAAGATAAACACCACAAAGACATACCGAATAGACATTTCTCCTATTCGGGGTTTTCCGTGTCTTTTAATCTGTTTTTAACTTCTCTTTCAAAAAAACCATTATGTATGCATGCATTTCTGTGTGCATGTTTGCATATGCATGCACCATGGTACACATAGAAGTCAGAGGTGGCTCAGCAGGTAAGGCCATTTGTCTCCTTCCACTATAGACTTTGGAGGCCAAATTCAGATCAGCCTTGTGCAGTGAGCATCTTTACCCATCCTCAAGGCACTCCTGCCACCCCCCACCTTTTTTTTTTTAAACCAGGTCTCCTGTATCTCAAACATACTATGTAGCTAAGATGCCATGTGCTAGCACACCTGGTTTAATGCCGTGCTGAGGACCAAACAGATGGCTTTGTGCAAAGCACTTTACAAACCAAGCTACATCCCTGGGACAAACATTTCTCAAAAGATGACACATAAACAGACAACAAGAATATGAATATCACTGATAATCATAAACTACATGTTCAAAGCCACAACATGATATCACCTCATCCCAATAAGAATGAGCCGTGCTGACTGAGAACTGCACACACAAGCAAAACCAGTCCCGGCTGCTTGCTTGATATCTAACACACACACACACGCACACACACGCACACACACGCACACACACACACGTTATATTGTGGCAGTGTGAGATGGCACATTGTGGTGATGCCTGAACTCTCGGCATCCATTTTAACCAAGAATGGAACCAGAGCTGCTCTGAGAATCTGTTCCTTCAGCTGCCTCCCAGAACTGTGCTCTCAAAGGCCCTTGCTATTGTTTATTGAAATTGTACATTCAACCTGAAATGAAGAAGGGAAAAAAAAAGGTCGTCTGCAAAAGCAGCCAGTGCTTCCAACCACTGAGCCATCTCTCCAGCCCCATGTGTTGAACTTTTTATGTTGGTGCTGGAAACTCATGAAACACAGCAGAACAAGGGGTAGACAGAAAACTAGTGCATCCCTCAACTCTCACCCGTGAAGCTTCCTTATACCACAGAGTGCAATACACACAGAAGGCCACAACTGGCCAAGTTTTAAAGAATAAGAGACTGTAGACTGTGTGTCCCTGGATAGAACCCATATATTGAACCTTACCCACCCATGACTCAAAACCATTGTGGAAGAAAGATAGTAAGAGCCAGGGTTGGTTCATGAACACAGGGAAGCAGAGGCTTACAGGACACCGTAAGGTTGTACATGTAAACTTGTGGCAATGGTGGCATCAAGCACAGGACCCATGCCAACTCTATTAAACAAGGGCTGGAAGGGGAGGACAGAAATAGGTGGCAGGCTGACCCTAGACTGAGAACTATTGGAGACTGATTGCTGTTGGGGGAGGGAGACTATGACATATAAGATCACTGAATGGGCTGAACAGACTCCAGTGGACATGTTTACATTGAAGGACATTCGGGTACAAATGCCTGAATGAATAGGACTTAACATGTATGGCAGGGAGGACAGAAATAGGTGGCAGGCTGACCCTAGACTGAGAACTATTGGAGAGTGTTTGCTGCTGGGGGAGGGAGACTATGACATATAAGATCACTGGATGGGCTGAACAGACTCCAGTGGACATGTTTACATTGAAGGACATTTGGGTACAAATGCCTGAATGAATAGGACTTAACATGTATGGCAGAACACGTGAGGGTTGGTGGGAGGATGGGGGAGGCAGGGATGGGGGAGGGGAGGTCTAAATTTGATTAAGAACTGTTGTATGAAATTACAAAGGCTCAATAAAAATCTGTAATAAAAAATAAATAACAAATATTTTTAAATATAAAAATGATTTCTCTTCCTGTGCATTTTTCTTTTAAAAATCTCAAAGTCCAGGTTGTCCATTTTGAAACTGTGTTTCATCAGTTATCCAGTCCTAATTCATCTGTTTCATGCTCATTTAAATTCTTTTTTTATTTTATTTTATTATTTTTATTTTTTGTGTAAGAGTGTATCAACTGCATGTATGTAAGTGCATCTGTGTCATGCAGTGCCTGGGGAAGTCAGAAGAGGGCATCGGATTCCCTTGGAAATGGGGTTTCAGACTGATTGTCAGCCACCATGTAGGTGCTGGGAATGGAACCTGGGTCCTCTGCAAGAGCAGTCAGTGCTTTTAACCCCTGAGCCATCTCTCCAGTCCCACTGCCTGCTATTTTCATGGCTGTGTCCACAGGCCAAGACTTCCCAATCAGTAGCAAGAGCCCATCTCTCACGAACACAGAA